GTTTGCGTGGGTTCCCTCCGGGTACTCCGGCTTCCTCCCACCGTCCAAAGACATGCAGCTTGTGGGGATAGGTTAATTGGAAAATCCAAATTGCCACTAGGTGTGAATGTGTGAATGACCATATGTGTTAGCCCTGCGACAGACTGGCGACCTGTCCAGGGTGTACCCCGCCTCTCGCCCTATGACAGCTGGGATAGGCTCCAGCGCCCCCCGCGACCCTGAAAAGGGGAAGCGAATGGATGGATGGATTTAGGAACTGGATGATCCTTTCCAGTATGTCAACTGGTTGACAACTTGTTGAAGCCACGCTTTCTTTCAATCAGCCTGTTTCAAAAGCTTCAGTTCAGCAGACTATTTTACATTTTTTTTTGTTAGTGCAGGTATTTGTTTTCACAAAGTGATTACATAATATTTTTAAGCAAAACGAACTGATTTTATTTATATCATATGATGGCTTTGACCTGTGGTCCTCTCCTCTTTAGATACGTTTCTACATTTTATTTTAGATTTGTCTAGTCACAGGACATTTTTTCCCCTTGCATTAGTTCTTCCTAAATAAGCTGAATCCCAGAAAAGGTGGTGACTTCTGGAATCTGTTTATTTGTCTTGTCCTTTTTATGGAGGGTGGCATTTTAACTTGCATTTCTGAATACATCAATGAAGTGCTTTCACTTCCACATCATAATGTAGTTTATAGTTTTAAAGCAGTGCCACGTGGTATTTTTGAATAATTTCATATTCAGATGTCTGCTCACTTCTGTTCTAAACTGTATTTCTTAAACAAAATGAACATTTATTATTTTCTCCTTTGCCTTTGTAGTATTGGCAATGAAAAATGGGCTTTATTTGAATAGTAAATTAAATATAATTTGTAAGTCATTTTGTCACATCCCCAGTTTTTCAAAAACAGGGTAACACGTATACAACCAGCACACTTCTGGAGACACTCAGTGAATAGATTCCACTGACCTACACAGAAGTCGTATGTCTTGGAGGCTCCCCAAACACATCAAAGACAGAAAGGGGCTTTTTAATCCCCTGAGTCCTATGCACTGAAGTGTTCAGGCGTGGACTACCCTGCATGGTAAACATTTTCTTTGTCACCAATCCAAAGTCATACAAAGTGTGCATAAGGGTGTGACTGCCGGCAAGCACAGGTGAGAGCCGGTAGACGTGACAACAAAACCATGGTCATGCCACTGGTGCACATCAATGATGATCACACATGTAAATAGGCTCTGGGCAAGCCTTATTGGCTTTTATTTGCAATGACACAGGATGTCAATACCTCAGTGCAATCACTCCCTAATTCCAGTCCTAGCGTATTCACACTTGTCGTTAAAAAGTATTGTAAATGAAACATATTAATTCAGCCTCATATAGTTTTTGTACTTATAAATCATAATTTCCCTATCTAATTCAGATACTGAGTAAACAATGTATATGTGTAGGGGTCACTTCACAGGCATATAGGCCAGCAGAGCATTTCAACCTGTGCCCTTCACCTAGTCTAGTCTGGGGTTAAAGGCAGCTGATTTGGTTGTGGTCAGCAGAAAATCAGCATATAAAAGCTTCTCAGTACATAGAAGCAAAAGGCAAAGTAAAAGCTTCTGCATCAAACACAGTGGACCATCTATCATCAGCAAATGACATAGTGCCCCAAATCATCACAGACCACAGAAATTTCACAACTGAACTTTAAACACTCTACTTTCCTGCTAGACTCCAAGACGCTGATTTCCAAATGAAATATCAAATTGACTTTCACCCGATAAAGAGAATTTTAGACCAGTCCTTTTTTCTTTCTTTCTGGCTCAGGTAATATGTTTGATACTTTCTCTGGTTTAGAAGATTGATGATCAGTGATCATCATCTGGACAATAGTCAAGAGTCAAGTCAGCAGCCAAGACTGAGAGGCACAGAGTATTTATGGTAAATGGCCTGTATTTATATAGCGCTTTACTAGTCCCTAAGGACCCCAAAGCGCTTTACATATCCAGTCATCCACCCATTCACACACA